CGGGCGCGGTCCGGAGGCCCCCCGAGCCGCCAGCCCCGCCGGCCAAGTAACGGTCCGCGCCACCGCGTCGGGAGCACCCCGGGACGGAGGGCGGGGTCGGGAGCCAGCTATCAGTCACGCGGGGGCGTGGCCGAGCCGGGTCCCGGACCCAATCACCAGCGAGAGCGCGGGGAGGGGCGGGCTTCCTCGCCGCCGTAGGCAAATAACGGACGAAGGTGGAGATTCTGAGAACCAATTGCGAAGGAAAAAAGCGTTCGCCTCTTAAGAATCCTAGGGATCCTGTGGAGAACACTAGAAATCTGGCCAGACCCCCGGGGGGGCGGGGCTTGAACGGAAAAATAGGCCTGGATGAAAGGCTGAGGACCGTGGGCAGAGTGATCCTTGAGATCACGGGCCCGACCGCTTCATTTTATGATCGTGGATGAGAAAGAAGCGGTGTGACTTGTCCAAGATCACATATCAACGGCGGTGGAGCAAGGGAAGAGGCTGACTTGAAGTGAGCATACATGCAATGGGCTTTAGTGCGTTGTGCTATTTAATAATTACGATAACAAAGCTGGCTGGTGGTTCACATCTGTAATTCTAGCTCCTCAGGAGATTCAGATCGGAAGGGTTGTGGTTTTGAGCCAGCACGGGGAGAAAAATCATCATGGATCCTTAGAAGACCCAGTAAAAAGTTAGAGTGGAGGCATGCTGCAAATGGTAGGATATCAGCTGAGCAAGCTGTAGGACCTGAGTTCAAGCTCCTGTACTAGCACACAATTTAAAAAAAAAAACAGAAACAACAAAAAACAAACTTGTGAGTGGTCAAGAAATCAGAAGTTTGAAAGTAGAACCGCTAATCTTCTGAGATATCTGCTGATGGTGAAGGGAGAGACTTGTTTAAGGGGTTGTAAAGAATTTAAGGGTGGACATAAAGGGGGCTGGAGGAAATGAGGCCTAGTAAATGTCTTACATGCATCAGGCCTTGGGTTCGATTCCTCAGCACCACATAAGCAGAAGAAGCCAGAAGTGGTGCTGTGGCTCAAGTGGTAGAGCCCTAGCCTTGAGCTGAAGAGCTGAGGGACAGTGCCCAGGCCCAGAGTTCAGGCCCCACAACCAGAAAAAAAAAAGTAGTAGAGTACTATCCTTGAGCCAAAAAAGCTCAGGGATGGCGCCCAAGCCCTAAGTGCAAGCCCCATAACTGGAAGAAAAAAAAGAATTCTTCTGTCTGGGTGCTGGTGGATCACAACTATAATCTGAGGTCTGTGGATCATGGTTCAAAGCCAGTTGGGACAGGAAAGACCATGAGACCCCTATGTCCAATTAACCACCAAAAAAGCCAGAAGTAGAGATGTGACTCATGTAATAGAGTGCCAGCTTTGAGCAAAAAAGCTTAGGGAAAGCATCCAGGCCATGAGTCCAAAGCCCAGGACTGGCATGAACACACACACACACATTCCCATGGATCATTATAGGGGTATCCTAGTATGACCCTCACTCCCCAGCCCTCTTTCCCCTCATCCTACGCCTCCAAGCAGAAGTGACCAAACAAAGACTTCTGAACACATTTATTTGACACGTCACGTGGAGAGAGGAGTGATTTAGATTTCCTCCTCGCTTCTCCCCATGGAGGTGTTCATTTAGCTCTGAAGAGCAGCTTAAAGCCCATGATCCACCTCCTGAGAACACAAGACAACCTGTTGTAGTGTTTAGTGGAACCAGGTGGGAATAAAAATCAGGAAGTTGAGAAATTAAGTTGAGAGCAGGAAGGAGCAGCAGCACAAATGAGGCTAGGAGTTGAAGAAGACATCCTGAACAAGTGGGTTGCAGGTGTAAGCAGGGTGTGAACAGGGAAACAGGCCTGGAGAAAGAAGCAAGGCCTGCCCAATGGGGTGAGTTTTTCATGAAGAGGGAGTCGAGTGTGCCGAATCATGATAGGCTGGATTGCGGGGGACACATGGAAAGCAAGGGTTGGCTTCTGCAGGGGAGCAAAGATAGTGGACACCTCCTCTTTAGAGGGTCTCTCTCCTGCTTCTGAGTCTGGGACCCTAGCAGAAGTGGTCTTGTGTTTACTGCTCTGCTGTGTCTGTGGGTACACAAGTAATCCCACGTACATGTGAAATGACCAGGACGTGAATGCTCACGTCTTTTATACCCAGTAAAATGGAATGCTTATCTTTCCTTACTCAAAAATCTCCTGTGCTGTCCTGGCTACTCAGGAGGCTGAGATCTCAGGATCCCGGTTGGAAGCCTGCCAGCGCAGGAACTATCTGTTAAGACTTTTTTTTTTTTTTAAATCTCCAATGAACCACCCAAAAGCAGGGAGTGGAGTTGTGGCTCGAGTAGTAGTAGAGAGGCAGCCTTGAGCGCAAGAAACTAAAGGATAGCGCCCAGGCCCCTAAATTCAAGCCCCAGTACCGGCACACACACAAAAGAAAAATCTACCGTGCTTGTGTGGACAAGTTTGCCCTTTGTGTGTGTGTGTGTGTGTGTGTGTGTGTGTGTGTATACGCGCGCACGGTGCCATGAACACATGCAATCGGTCCCCAGGTCCGCGGTTGGAGCTGGCGCTCCTCCCACCTGCCCCCAAGGAGGTCCAGGTCCTGTAGGCTCCTGCCAGTCGCTCAGCGCCCCGGCTCCCCAGGCCCCCCGAGACTCTGGAAGCCCCCCAACAGGCGAATTTGCTCCGTCTGCATGGAATGGCGTCTCACCAACTTGCGCTTGGTCCTGGGCGAGCCTGGCGCCCCGGCATGAGGAGGAGGAGGGGCGGGCAGGGAAGGCGCACGACCTCCGGGCTGGGGACGAATGTCGGGGATGGGAGGGTGGGGGCTGACGTTGAGGGGGGGCAGGAAACCCGGCCGGGTTTGCGAGATGTGGTCCAGGAGCAACGTCCCCGAGCCCCTCCGCTCCAGCAGCCCGGGACTCCGCCTCCTTCCGCTCAGGGGCGACACCGCCCCGGGCAGACTTTCCTGGGACTGGCGCGGCGAGGAGACCGAGCCCGCGGGCGGCAGGGTCAGCGGGGAGGCGCTGTAGCGGCGGCGCTCCAGGGCCGGGCGGCCGGGCTCCGGCGAATCGGAGCCAAGGTGCCCGGGGCCGTCCGGCTCCACCGGCTCCAGGCGGCTCAGTTTCTGCCTCCACCCGGCTGGGGCCTCCGGAGCCTCGGGGGCGGTGTTCCTGCGCGACAGCGGACCCCCGCCCGCCACTCTCTCCGCCCACGGGGGAGGATCCTCGGGGCCCTCGGTGCTGTGCCGCCGCGAGAGGCGCGGGCGTCCGGCCACCGTCAGGCCGTTGAATTCGGCCGCCAGGCGCTCTGCCCCCGGCCTGCCCTCGGCCGGGGGGACCGGCTGGGGGGGCGCCACGAGCCCCCAGGGCTCCGAGTTGAGCCTCTTGAGCGGCTTGGGGGGGTGTCGAGGCGGCTTGGGGAGCGGCTCCGAAGGGGAAGGGTCGTCCGGGGGCTTGGGCAGCGGGAATTCAAAGATGTCCCGCTTCTCCTCTTCTTCCTGAGCTCGAGGGGATAACAGTCCCACTCTCCCTCCTCCGCCTCCGCCTCCGGCGGCCGTCTGCAGCTGGATCTCCGAGGGCGACGTGCAGACCCCCGGACTCCGGGGTGCGGGTGCGGGGTCCTCCACCCCCGGCGACGGCGGCGAGTTGAGATACTGCCGCGTCTTCTTGGTGCCCGAGGGCGATGTGTCGGTCGTGATAATGATGACCTCCGTGCCCTTGGCCTTGCAGGCGTCCAGCAGCGTGGCGAGGGTCTCGCGATCCCCTCGGTCGAGGGCGTGCACCAGCGCCGAGGCCCCCGCGTGATCGCGGACCGAGGGGTCGGCGCCGTGGGCCAGCAGCAGCGCGGCCACCGCGGCGCCGCCGCCCCCGGCGCAGGCGTGCATGAGCGCCGTGCGCCCCAAGCGGTCGGCGATGTTGGGGTCGGCGCCTTGCTCTAGGAGGTAGCGGACCATCCGCGCCTTGTTCTGGGGGTCGTCGTAGCGGGCCCGGCAGGCCGCCATGAGCGCGGTCTCGCCCTGGGCATCCCCCTCGTTCACGTAGGCGCCTCCCTCCAGAAGCAAGCGGGCCAGGCGCAGTTTACCCTGACCCACGGCCCGGAGAAGAGCGTGGCCCTCGGTATGCAGCATGGCTGCGGCTGGGGCCGGGAGCACCGCGGGGGGATCCGCCGGGGACCGCGAGAGGAAGGTCGGTGGGGGGGGGGTGGCTGGCACCGGCCTGAGGTCTCAGTGGGAAAGCCTATCCCTGCAAGAGAAAGAGTGAGAGAGAGAGAGAGAGGGATCATAGGAACAGACGCAGCAGGGGAAACTGAGGCACGCCTGGAGGCGCCCGGCGTGTGGCAGGGGGAAGGTCTCCAACAGCACACAGCCCTTCCTCGAACCCCTGCCTGTGAGCTGCCCCTTCCCTCCCTCCCCCCCGCAGCGCACGCCCGAGGCGGTGGGCAGGGAACGCGCCTGCCCAGGCGGACCTGCACGCGCAGGGACCCGCGACCCCCCCACCCCACGGCTCCTCAGACCTCCCCCACCTCCCCCTTTCTCCAGGGACCTGGATGCCACCCACCCACATGCACCGTTCTTCGCGTCAGTCACACGGTTTTTTTTTTTTTTTTCATTCCTAACCTCATTTAGATTGCCACAACCCCCAATATTGAGTACGGGGGCGGGGTGGGGGGGAGGAAGCAGATCGCATTGGGGGAACCTGCCAGGGAGCGGAGGAAGAATTGGGGGATTCATCTGCCCCCCCTGCGATATTCTCTGCTTTGATCCCCATCCTCCCCACCCCAGCCCCCCCCATCCCCCCCAGACTGTCAGCCCAAATAGATACCTGAATATCCGCAGGATCTCTGGCTGCCCAGAATTGAGCCCCGGGCCGAGGAGCCGCCGGGGCGGAGGAGTCGGATGCCTGGAGACCCACATGGCGTGTCGGGGGTGTGGGGTGTGGGGGGCGCACCCAGATTCCCTTGGTGTCAGTGTCTGCGCCCCGGTACTGGATCCCGGTTCCTCCTCCCGGTGCGCCCTGGGCACCGCGCCGGCTCCGGAGGAGAGAAGCGCGGGGGGGGGGGGGGGGGGGGGAGGCGGAGCTTCGCGTTGCTATTTATAGTCCAGGCTCTGCGGGGTGGGGGCGTCCGCACCAAACTGTGCACACATAAACCCTAAAAAACCCAGGCGCTTAAACCCCGACTTCCCTTTCCTAACCTACCTCCTTCGGCAGCGCCATCAAAGCTAAGCAGGCTCCTAGGAGACCCATCCGGGGACCAGCGGGGGCTCCGCCTGGCTCCTGAAGCCCATGACCAGCACTCGCCGTGTTTACGAGTCCCGGTAGCCAGACCCGGCTGCCACGCCCGGCAGATGGCTCGCTACGTAGAGAGGGGCGTCCGGAGAAGGTTGGATCCACTTCGGCGTCCACGTTGGGCAGGGAGAAGCAGGAGATGATGCGGCTGCTGGTTGAAATGTCAGGGAGCTGGGAGCTGGTGGCTCACTCCTCATTGCTCAAGAGGTTGAGATAGGAGCATCCAGGTTCGAAGCCAGCCTGAGTAGAAAAGTCTGTGAGCCTCATCTCCAATTAACCAGGCGGGGTGGGGTGCGGGGGGAGTCGGAAATGGAGCTGTGACTCGAGTGCTAAAGTGAGTTCAAGCCCCAAGACTGGCACAAAATAAAATACTAGCTGTCAGGGAAAGCACAAGCCAGTGTGGAAGCAGATAAAGCCATACATCTCCACTCCTGCCTCTCCCAAAACAAACATACAGCACAGAGAAACTTGGATCTGAGATCCCATATTTGAACCTGTTAGGTAAGAGTGAGGAAGGTAGATATCCTGGGAGCATTTTTTGGGGGGAGGGTGATGGGAGGAGTTAGGTCGTGGACCTTAGACCCAGGGCCTGAGCACTGTCCCTGAATTGTTTTTTTTTTACTCAAGCCCACTTTTTTACACAAGCCCACTTCCAGTTTTCTGGAGATGAGTCTCACCGACCAGGATCCTCAGATCTCAGCCTACTGAGTAGTTAGGATTACAGGTGTAAACCACTGGTGCCCAACTTCTAGGAGCATTTTTCTAGATAGGGCTAAGGACATTTCCAGCAGTTTCTCTTATTTCTGAAGGGAGGAGCTAGGAGAGCTGCAGAGAGATGAGCAAACCTTATAATATACTCTTTCTCATTTCATCTCTCTTCATCCTTTTTAATTCTTTTTCTTTATAAATACAGGGCCTAAACCAGACGCCCATGGCTCACACCTGTAATCCTAGCTACTCAGGAGGCTGAGATCTGAGGATCGTGGTTCAAAGCCAGCCCAGGCCAGGAAAGTCCATGAGACACTTATCTCCAATAAACCACCCAAAAAACTGGAAGTGGTTCAGTGGCTCAAATAGGAGAGCGCTAGAGCCTTGAGCTGAAGAGCTGAGAGACAGTGCCCAGGCCCAGAGTTTAAGCCCCATGACAAATAAATAAATAAATAAATAAATGGACTGGGAAGGTGGCTCAGTGGTAGAATGCTTGTCTTGCAGGAATGAGGTCCTGGGTTCGATTCCTCAGTACCACATAAGCAGAAAAAGCCAGAAGTGGCACTGTAGCTCAAGTGGTAAAATGCTAGCCTTGAGATGAAGAGCTGAGGACAGCTCCAGGCCCAGAGTTCAGGCCCCATGACCAACAACAGTAACAAAACTAAAACAGTCCCTACAGGCTGGGAAGGTGGCTCAGTGGTAGAGTGCTTGCCTTGCATGCATGAGGCCCTGGGTTCGATTCCTCTGCACCATATAAGCAGAAAAAGCTGGAAGTGGCACTGTGACTCCAGTGGTAAAGCTCTAGCCTTGAGCTGAAGAGCTGAGGGACAGCGCCTAGGCCCAGAGTTCAGGGCCCACAAGGGACAATGAATAAATGCATACATACATACATACATACATACAAACAAGGCCCAGCCCTATAGCCCAGGCAGCACTCCACCTCATGATCCCGCTGCCTCCCTCTCCTCAGTGCTGGGATTCTAGGCATGTACCCCCATGCTTGGCTTCTTTAGTCTTCTTTGTTGTGGAAACTCATTTTCTATCTTCTGTCTTTTCATCTTCTGTCTTGCTTGAAGGTCCGTGTCCGAATCACTCCTTCTGTCTTCTCTGTTCCTGTACTGTCCCTATTGGTATCTCATACTGTCTCTGGCTCTTCTTGTCACCTGCCCTGTCTCTATGGTTACCATAGATTCCATCTGCATATTTTAGAAGTGAATCTGTGTCCAGCTGGAAGGCACCAAGCAAAGTGGGGGATGAAAAAAAGAAACACACACACACACACACACACACAAAAACAGGATTTGGAAAGCTCACCTAAGCTCCTAGGTAAGTCAGAGGCTGTAGGCCACCAGACACAAGATACTAAAAATAATGTTTCTGGGGAATGAAGAGCGAAACTACCCATTTTTACTAGTTACTGCCAATTATGAGCCTAGTGCTTTACATATATTATCGCTAATCCTCACACAGCTGTACAAGATAGGAACTATAACCTGTGTGTGCATGTGTGTGTTTGTGAGGGGGGGTGCGTGCTTGCGTGCGTGCGCGCATGCACACATGCTAGTACTGGTGCTTAAATGCAGGGCCTACGCTATTAGGCCCCATCTCTTAGCTTTTTCACTCAAAGGCTTCACAGGCTTGCCCCTATCTCTTGAGCCACAGCTCCATGTTCAGCTTTTTGCTGGTTAACTAGGGATAAGAGTCTCACAAACATTTTGGCCCAGGCTGGTTTTGAGCAGAGATCCTCAGTTTTCAGTCCCCTGCATTTCTAAGATTACAGGCATGAGTTACCGGCACTCAGTTAGTATTTTCTTTTCTCTTTTTCTTTCTTTTGCTGGTCATGGGGCCTGAACTCTGGGCCTGGGCGCTGTCCCTCAGCTCTTCAACTCAAGGCTAGTTAGTGTTCTACCACTTGAGCCACAGCACCACTTCCAACTTTTTCTGCTTATGTGGTGCTGAGGAATTGAACCCAGGGCCTCATACATGCAAGGCAAGCACTCTACCACAGAGCCACCTTCCCAGCCCCATCAGTTACTATTTTCTTGTAGCATGTGGTTACAACCTCAAGAAGGTTCTCCAAAGCTACACATTTTTTTTTCCTATCCCCAAAACGTCCCTATACCTATTTATTACAGCCTCCCAGAGTAGAGGTCATTTTCTGACATCTGGAATATTCTTCTTCTTTTTTTTTTTTTTTGGTCTGGTCGTGGGGCCTGAACTCTGGGCCTGGGCGCTGTTCCTCAGCTCTTCAGCTCAAGGCTAGCGCTCTACCACTTGAGCCACAGCGCCACTTCCGGCTTTTTTCTTTTT